CATTTCCCTGCCTTCCTATCGGAGGGGTGCAAGCACTGTGGGGTGAGCAGCTGGGAAGGGAGGAAACCCTTGCACTCTCTGTACAGCACGTTGGCATTGTACACTCTGGGCTCAGAGAGACACGTAGCAAACCAATACACAGGAAACCTAACCCAGTAATCAGTTTACATCTGTAAATACTTTCTGGGCGGTTAATTACTTCCAGTGCAAAGGGCTCGTTTCTAATCTCCCATTAGCAATCCCACGTCTCTTTCCATTTCAGACCGCCTCAGCAAAGGAGTCTTGCTGCCACAAAGGACAGGAAGAAGAGCACTAATGACTTTTTTTTTAATTAAGTCAGTTGTTGGTGCTACTCTAGGATAAAATGAATCTGTTTTTCATAAATGGAGTTGGATTCTGTTATTGCTCCGTCAACTTCCTCCGAATGCTGCAGTCCCAGCTGCCTCACTCCTGGTTTGTAGTCCTCCATTAATACACTGCTTAGTCAACTGCTACCTGCAAAAAGCCTCAGAGGTTGTGCCTTACATTTGCAATGTTAACATAGATCCACAGGCATGGCTCTCAGCTCTAGGGCAGCCTGTCAGGTCCAGTCCCCCTGAATCTCGAGCTCAGACTCTGTAACACCGGGGTTTGCTGCATTCATAGAGGGTGTCACCCACCAAAGAAAAGATCTTTACACCTAATTCTTAATGCCATTGTAGCTCTTGAAACCACCAAGGAGAGTGGGGGCCTCAGGAGGAATTTCAATGAGGGGAGAATGGTGGTCTTGCAGATTAACTGAGGAAAGGTGTTCCATATGTAGGGGTGACATGGAATACTGTACAGAGAGTTGTTTGGTGGGGAAGCAGCCATATGACATGTTAAGCAATAAGTAGCATGGTGTGTGTGTTGAGGGAAGGGGGGCTGTTCTAAAAATTAAACCTCAGCATAAAATTTGAATAATAAAGCATCTGATACTGTCTCTCAAAATATCATTTCAAATGAATTCAGACTGGTTTGGCTAAAAACACTCAGGGGAATGAAAACCTATTTAAAAGGAAAAAAGTAATGTGAAATGACAAAGGCCAGTATTGAACTGTGTGTTGGGGTACCACAAAGACTAACGTTAGGCCTATTCCTATATAATATCTTCAGTAAGGATTTGGAAGAGGAATTAAACAGCATGCTAATGAAATTCACAGATAATCCCAAACTGGGATGAGTTACAAACATTAATGAGGACAGTAAAAATATAAGTGGGGCATGAGGGCAGAACATTTTAGGAGGTTCTGTCACGTTGGGGTGCAATCCAGACCAGTGAGGGCTAGGTGCCTTCAATGCTCTCCTGCTGTGGCTCACAGCCTGTACACCGATAGCCATTAGACAAGCATGTACTAAGAGTCTGTGTGCTAACAGCTCTGATTCTAGCAGCCTGCTTGTTACATCCCAGCCATACTGGTATCCACTAGCCTTGGTTATCCAAGTGACTTCAAACACACTTCCAGTCCTGAATTTTCCCCAAACCATGTGTCCTGAAATGTCCAGTCCTTTCCTGGACCATTCAGAAGCATAATAAGGTTTGTTTGCACCTTTAAAAAGTCAGTACCCAACAGCTTGCCACATTAACTTGAGTAAACAATCACTTCAATTCATATACAGCACTGGGTTGGTTTAGATTAAAATAAAACAAGTTTATTAACAACAGGACATAGGGTAAGTCATGTCAAGTAAAAGAAATAAAGGTAGAGATGATTACAAGCAAATAAAAGAAAAAACATGCTTCTAAAAGTCTAAAACAATTTAGCAAAGTACAGACTTTGTTTAAGATGGTTTCATTCACCAATCACTCTTTGTCCAGCATGGCTGACTGTCTTTCAGTCAGGATCTTCCACAGATATACACGGTGCTAGTTCCCCTTATTTTCATAGGTGAAAGATAACTTGGGGTTCTTTGCCCATTTCTTTTATAGTTCTGTGAACTTAATGAAATGGATTCTTCTGAAAGTTGCCCCCCCAATGATGTTTATTCAAGTTCAACATGGAGTTTTGTGGTGAGTTTTGTGAAACCATGCTGGTTTCTTCCCCTCCTGGTATTTGCTAAAATGCAAATTGATCTGTTCCTGCCCTCTCGGATGCAAATAAATGGCCACTTGACATGTGATTGCTAATCAACTGTGATGACATCTGCTGGAGGTGTCAGCTTGTCCTTTGGGAGGAACCTGTTTACCCTGCCTGACTTGTCTGCTAAACATATTTTAGTTTCACATTTCCTTCATTTTTGTATGTCCTTTGGGCATTTACCATACATATACCACACAAGACTATTAATGATCAGTATGCTATTAGTTTTCCAATGATACCTTACACGACATATATCAGATTCAGTTTATGACAATCAATTGGAACAACTGAAACTCACTACCAGAAGTGATCCCCTGGCCTTCTTGCATGGAGATACAGATAGAGTCACAGGCTCCCTTTGGATGAATACAGCTAATACACTGCGGGGGAAATGATTCAAAATACATATTTCAATGAGAGGAAAAAACATGGAAAGCAATACCGATGAGAGGAGCTAGGGGAGATAGTGACAGATAATTAGATCTGAGTTTGCAATGTGATATGGTTGCAAAAAAGCCCAAAACAATTTTGGGCCATATACACAGTCATCATGTCATGAAGCAGGGAGGTGACACTCTTCTTTATACAGGTCTCGTGTGACTGACCATACCTGGTATACTGCATTCAGATCTGGTCATCACATGATCTAATACTCCACAAACTGCAGGGAGCTCAGAGAAGAGCAAGCTTCCTGAGGCATGAAAGAAAGTTGACTCCCACTTCCAACTGGCCAATATTGCCAGTCCCCATTGTCCATTTCTTATATTTTCAAACAAGCATCTTCATGCTTTCTCCATTCTGCCCCTCACGCTTGGGAGGAGCTACCTGTAAACACTGCAAAGCTACCGCATTATTCCCCTCCAAATCCCTCCTTGAAAACTTGCCTTTGCCATGCTGGCTACAAAAACACTTGACAATGAATACTCCTGGCTAGCATGCTAATCAATATTGTCTCACTGTTTCCTTGTACTCCTACATCTGTCTGTATCCTTCTGTTGTCTTCTGTTTTATACTTAGATTGTAAGCTCGCTGGGCCAAGGCCTATCTTTTAGTTCTGTTTGTACAGCACCTAGCATAATGGGGCTCCTGCTACATCACTAAGGCATGGTAGTAATACAAATAATAATGTGTGAAAAGCATGAGCTGAATTCAGATAGACCTCAATTCCAGGATTTATTAATACATATCCCTTTCCTATACAACTTTATTCCTTGTGTTCACCTACTGTACTGAAAAGTCATTGAGCATGGTTCAAACTATGAGAGCTTTATTGGGCTGTGGGGGCTGTGGTTTGATTGAGACAGGATGGGGATCACAGAGTAAATGGGAATGTTCAGCAACCGACGTGAGTGTGGAAAGACCTGGAGAATGGGGCCAGGATATGAAAGAGAAGGAACTAGGAAAAAGTGTATAAGGACAAAGAGAGAGTTTATCACAGCAGTTTTTTCCCCCAGAGATCTTTGCACCCTTCACAGTTACTGGGATGCTGGGTTACAGCAGAAAAATGTGCTTTTGTAGTTAGACGGACACCCCGCCACTGTTAAATACAGAGCTGGCGCTTAGTGTCTTGGGTTCTGGGCTGGTGTACTACTGTCTGATTTGTTACTGAGAAACAAGGCATAGGATGTTCTGACTTGCAAAGTGCATAGAGTGAGGGCAAAGGGGTTCAGCTTGGTGACAAGGACTATTTCCAGTGCATCACCGGCAGCAGTGTTTGGAATTTTGTTCTTCATACAAGAACTGTGGGGCTCCCACAGCTGGAAGTTTCCCAAGCAGGGTGAAGTATATAGTGTGTGTATGTATGTGAATGACAGGGCCAGTTAGCACTCCTGTGAGGCCACAAAAACTTGGACTTCATAGACTTGTTTCCTCCACTTCTCTTTTATTTCAGGTTATTTTTTATTAGAATCTTTAAATTCAGTACAGCAAAGTCAATAAAAGCCAGTTCAGAACATGTCAAATGAAAACTAGTTTCAGCAACAGCACAATCACCTGACCAACATTTACAACTCAGAGAAACTTTCATATAGACAAATGCTCTTGCTCTCACAGGCCCTATAATAATAACGTGATGTCCCAGTCCTGCCTAATGTTAGTACTTGGAATACAGGAACAAGCATTCAGTATTGGAAATGCATGTCTCAGGCAATGTAAAAGAGACAATCCTGGTCTCGCAGGGAGGTAAAGACACGAGCATCGTAATTCGCCAATACAGAAGGGGAAAGGATTTGACGGTGAGCTATGTTTATAATGTACATTTAATAAGAATAGGTTTCAGAGTAGCAGCCGTGTTAGTCTGTATTCGCAAAAAGAAAAGGTGTACTTGTGGCACCTTAGAGACTCACAAATTTATTTGAGTATAAGCTTTCGTGAGCTACAGCTCACTTCATCGGATGCATTCAGTGGAAAATACAGTGGGGAGATTTATATACATAGAGAACATGAAACAAAAAATTTAAAGGAGTTAGTCTCCCAAAGGCCACAAAAAGTGGGTTTAAAAGGGTTCAGATAACAGCTCTCTTTCTTTTTCAGTAGGGATGGAATATATTTTGCCATGGAACAATCCCACTTGTTTCCAGTGGGACAACTGGAAATGAAACACAACTCTTTGTTGCATGGATATTCCAGGGATCTACTTCTCTCAGTTCCTGCTTGGCCCCGGAAGGCTACCAAAACTAGTCAAATTCTGCCCTCAAATAGGCACATATGGCTCCTACAGAGGTCAATGAGAATTTCAGGAGCTCAGTACAATTAAAAAGAGGTTAGACAATTATATGAATAATGAGAATAATAAGCCAATTGATGGGAATAGGAAGGAACTTCCCCTACACGCTGCTGCTTGCTACAGATGTTTCTGGCAACTTCTTTGGAAGCAGCTGGTACTAGCCACTGTGAGTCTAGAGGGAGCCCTGAGCTGATCGGTGCATTGGATGTTCTTGTGCACATACGTATCTGAGGACAGAATTGGGTTGAATGAATTCAATCCTGATGTGCTGATTTTCTAGCACAGACTATATTTTTGAGTGGTTTTGATTCAGATGCTATAGAAAGTTTCCTTATTGTAGCCAGATGGAGCATGTTGGGAAGAGTGCTGTGCCATCTGGCAGAAGTGCAGAGTTTGGAAATAAAATGAGAGTGCCAGATTTAAACCAAAGGGGAAGCAGCACAACGAATGGGGCATATTTCCACAGAAACTGAGAGTATTTTTCTTCCCAGATGTCAGGGTAGGATTTATAGCTCAACCACAACTGTACTATAAACAGGATTGCTCAGTCTAGCCACAGAAATGCCAAGGAAGGGTCTAATTAGTTATTGCTTGTAAAGCACTACAGAAGAATCCTAATAATAGTTATAAGGGCCAGCAAGAATAAGATAGTAATTTCACCTCCTATTGCTAGTAACCACTGGATCAGAGTAAAATGTCCTTCAAATGCTAATACAGGATAGAGGAAACTGTTACTTATGCAGTAATATACTGTCTACAAAACAACAGCATGAAATAGCAAGATGGGAAGGCCACACTTTGTTAAAGGCCCTGATAGACATTTTAAATATGCTGCTTCCTGGCCTGATGCACAATAATAATCCAGAGAATTAAACCAATAACTGGTACCATTATATTCCTGATCTTCAGTACAAAGTGCATCCAATATTTCTGGATAGCATTAGAACCCAGAGTACACATAACTGTTATGTATATAAATATGAAAGCACTGTATAGAAAAAAACTATTTCATTAGAAAGCAAGGTGACTCAAGTCTGAATGTATTGAAATATTTTTCTTACTGGCACTCGTCTCTGTTTCTAAAAGGCACTTAGAGGTAAACAAGCAAAAAGTTTTCTGCAAGCATCAATTCGTGTACTGGTGCATCTCAAAAGCAGAAGTGGGCATCTCCGGGCTGACTCCGTGTTGCTGTAAGTGAAAAAGGAAGCAAACTCTGGCTATTTATTCCTGTTCTAGTGCCAAACAAGATTCAGTAATTTTTAAAAAAATGGCAAGGGTGTTTGTGTGTGTTTAAAAAAATATTCATTCCAGAGTGTGCATGAGAGAGATGGATCTGTGTGTACAGTAAATGCCCTCCTACATGGGATGCAGTGAGCCTTACAGTTATCTGTACGATCCAGACCAGGAGAACCGGCGAGGCCAGCAATGTACAGACCCGTCTTTCACAAAAGTTAGGTCTTAGTTAATAAAAGATCACTGATGCCATCATGTCTGTCTAGTGTGTTATTTACAGCCTACTGGTCTGCAAAGACCCTTTCATTTGACTGGCAAAGGCTAAGACAACTGCTTCCGTATAGCTATGTGTATTTTTTGCCAGCCTTCTCTTTATGGGGTATTCCCCAGCTCCACAGAACTGCCACAGGGCTCTATGCTTTGTCGAGAGACTCATACTCTCTCCTAAAAGTGAACTATTTTGTCAGGCCCTGAAGTTCTGGCCTTAGGCTAGTGCAGTAACCTCCTCAGCCCCTACCTTTACACAAGGTGTGTCCACAAGACTCTCCTCCAGTGAGGTCACTGCAGAAGGATGCAAACCTAACTCTCTTCCTTGGAGCCAGCCACACTGTCTCTGTGTTGGCTTGGGGAGCCTGAGGCTAAGCCCAGAAATTCCTGGCATAGCAGTGTGTTGCATACCCAGCTGCTTTACTTTTAGTAGAACACAGCTGCCTTAGGATATCAATGGCCATTCAAATGCTGCTCGTGAGAAATGACAAATGGCAAATGTAAAGGACAGGCAGGTCTGACACTCAAATATTATTAAATGAATTGTAGAAAAGGTATAACAGTAGAATGATTTCCAGCACCAAAATAAGCTTGAGGTGGTATAAATATGAGGTTCCTTGGGACCGTGAGGGCTGCACACTTGGGTATTTGTATTACATACAAACCCATGCACTTGGATTCACGCAGTACTTGAATTAATGCCCTGATATAGGAAATATTTCCTGAAGTCCTACATCCTTCCAGTATGTTTAAATGGAGCAAAGACTCTATTATAGTAACTGCACTAGATTTTTGGAGAGCAAAGATCATTTTATTAAGACATCAGTCGAGACGAGCCCTTCTCCATTATACTTACTCTCTAATTTGGAACCCAGGAAAACCAAATCACAATTGCATTAGAAAGCTGGACAGGATAGGCAGAGAGGCAGGGTTACTACATGAGTTCATGCACATCTCTAGCACAGCCCCCTTTCTGAAACATTTAGGGGGCGGGAGGGGGGAGAAAGAGCCTGCTTTCCCAAATGAAATGAGCCAAAAATATAAGACTCTTAGTCTCTCATGTACTTTATTTTCCCTTTGTGGGGAGAATACTTCCAGGCTGTCGAATGTTTTAAAAGGAACATTCTACTGTGAATAAATAAGAAAAATAAAAATATGGAAGCAAGCTGTGTAAACTCAAGCCCTGAGGTATTTCAAGGATACAGTGTAATTCTTACATCTCTTACCCGCAAAGCATAATTGCCAATAAGAAAATGACTCTTTATGACTCTGTAAAAATGTGTTGCCTTTACTTCCTGCCCTTATACCCAAAGGAGAGGGCGAGAGATTTGAGGTAAAAGCCCTGCTGAAATGGTGATAGTCGCAGTAGTTCAGAGCAGAGGAAGAAATGAAGGTATTAAAGTGCCACTTTTGTTTCTCCCTAACAGTCTTCACAATTTATTTGTTCCCTACAGCACGGCTAGCCAAAGTCTTTGGGCACAAGATATCCCACAACTCTGCTGCTTTTCTGGATAAAGGCTTCAATCCTGCACGAGCCTCTGTGCTGTGTGGGGTTCTGCTGGGGTCATTTGGGCTTTGTACAAGTATAAGTCCATGCTAGCTGCTCCCAGTGTGGGACTGTCAGCTTCAGCTCTCTTCGGCCCTTTCTTTTGAAATCTCCGCTTTAAAAATGAATAGGATTTTAGAGACTTTCAAATGCATAACCGTGATTTTGTCACACAGACTGGGTTGGGAAGCCAAGGCACGCTTTATCCTGGTATAACTGACTCTGCATTGCCCATCAACCTCCCATCTCTCTCTTAACCCTTCCCCTTTTGCCTGGTCCTAGGACTCCCCAAGAATCCTTCTTTGTTCAGATGTAGGGCCCAATCCTACCAACACTTCTGCATGTGACACTGAAGTCAACAGGACTACTCACATGGCGTACATACTTTCAGGAACAGGCCCTTAGATATCAACTCATTTGAATAAATCCTATTTATTAATTGTATTTCCTTTTAATTTTGGGATTAGTGGATAAAAACTACATTAAAGGTTTTATTTTAAAAATGGCAGTTGCTCCTACACTGATTATTAGCCAACAGCGGTCACTATGAAAGGGTTTCAACCTGTATATATGCCAGGGCTTTATGCACACTCTCACATAATGGGGACACTGCAGGAATGTGCATGCAAACACGTGCCCACACAACATATGTCATATGCATGCATTCACCCACACAATGTACTATATATACAGATATCTGTACTTGTGCACTCTTGCAGATCCATACGTGGAGACAGGCAGGTGCTTATCCAGTGTATATAGATGCGCAAGCACTCAGCCATATATATGCAAAGATATTTAAAAACAAATTAATTTTAGGTACCACCTTTGCCTTTTCATTTTAGGAAAGTACATTTTAAACCCTCATTTTACTCATTTCAGTTTTCTGACTTAAAAGTTTGAACACAATTAATGCAATTCACACTCACCAAATGAGGCCTTTTCCTCTCAGTTGGTTAAAACACTAATCAAAAATGTATTACAATTATTAAACTCTGAGAATGCATCTTGTAAAGTCTTGTAAAGCCTGGAAGTCCCGGAGCATAGAAATTGTGCAGTGAGTTTTAGAGCATGTCCCTTGTATTGCGGATAGCACAGCAGAGAACCATGCTGAATATCATGCCAAAGATCTAAAAGAGAAGGAATGTGATTTAGAGATTTCCATGGAATGCCTCCTCTTACAAAAGTAGATATAGTTACAAAACTGTCATTTCAGAACAATCTAATGATCTTCCTGGGGAGATCATTAACACTATTACTGATACTGTCTGCATTGACACAAGATCAGCACTGTCACTGGTATCAAATCCAGCACTGAAACAGAGGACTTGAATTTCAGTCTAGCACAGAAACGTGGTTATAGGAGGTCTCTGTTCATGGAGTATCATGTGTACTTCTGAATAAGAGCAGAGCTCAGCTCTGGGTGTAAGATAGGCTAACGTATGGGATTGCTGCAGGATACTGTGGGTTTAGAGAGAAGCTTAAACTCTTAATAATTACTGTACATGAGGCAAGTTTATACACTGCATGTAAATAGAATCCATAGTCTTAAAGCTCAGGAAACTGCAGGGGTTAGAATGGAATCCAATGGAGGGAGCTAGAGTCTCTAGTAATTCCTCCCTAGTCACAGGTTTTAGCTCCAGAACAGAGTTTACAGGCAATAAGCAAAGACGTCATCCATGATCATGAGAAACAGGCAAGCTATGCCATTGAATCCCTTCCCCAGGAACACAGGACAACAGCTGGCCAGCCTTACCACATAGGAGCCATGGACTAGCACTTGCTTCTCCTTCCAGCCCAGATGCCTGAGAGTTGTGAAGTTAATGCAGGACCATGAGGACCCCAAGTGCGCGGCATCTGATATCTCCTTTTACCATATCTGTGCCCATTTCAATGGGACGTTATGAAGATTGGATCCCTGTATGCAGTGCACACGTACTCTTAGGCACTGAACAGCCTGCTTATTGAGGCTCTGTTCCATCTGGATTGCTTTGCCATATTTTCCATGCATGCCATTATATTTTAGAAAAGTCACATTTCAGGTTGCCTATGCCTAACTGGTTGTTATGACCTCCCCATATTTCTGAGAATGTTTAACACCCCCTGCCTCTCTCCATCCCCACAGGTCAGGTGTAGCGACCATATTACTATGCTCTTTAGTTTGAAATATATGAACCCTCCTTCCACATCTGAACTCAGTGAGCTTTGGAAAGTACAGGTAACTCCATTAAATTCCTCCTCCAGAGAGCAGGTGGGAGTGTAATTCCTCAGAAATCTGGTTTCATCCTGTGTCTTCAGACTGTCATTGGCTGCTGAATCTGGAGCAGATCGCAGCAGATGCAGGCTGAAAAATGCTTTTAATCTCCAAGCCTCTGTCAGTTTGATGCGTCTTCTTGCTAGATTCATGCACTAGTGTGACATCTAGTGGCCACACAGCTCAGTTATGAATGCACAGATTTTTGGAAATGGCAAAGCACACTTTTTGTGGGAGAAGATGAAGTTTAAAACAAGTGAAGTGAGAAGCTTTGGGGATACGATTAGATGAATCAGTCACTGACAACATGGTGTTGTTTAATCTGGATACCTAACAGTTAGAAGAGGGATATATCCTGAAGCCATCTGCCTAGTTTAAATTCAGTTCTGTTAAAGCAATGGGCATAGGAATGAGGATGTGCTGATTTCTAGCTTCCAGGTAAGCCATGAACATCTATCACAATATCATAGGTTTTCCTTCACCAGATTGTTAATGTGCGTGACCTGGGAAAATCAGTTCCTTACAAGCAACTGGTTAAATCACACATCATCCTTCATGTTCAAATCCATTATGAGTGTACAGCTTGGATCCAAATATTTAGGGACAAACAACACCAGTGCCAACAATGGGTTGGAATGGGTGAAATCTCAGGATAGCTGGTTGGTTTTCAGTACACTCAGCCTTTTTGGCTGAAATTATTAATTTATATTGATTTACAACAGTGGAATTTACAAAGTGGAATTTCTCCCAGATAGCTTGTATTCACTCTATGGGGATGAAAAATAAACTGATAAAACTGGGACTTGCCAAAATTTATGTGGAGAGTGAGAGTGACTCTCAGAGAAAAGCGTCAGGGACAGTTAATATCATATGGAAATCTCCCCAGCAGCTACTGCAGAGCATCTCCCAGGAAATATGGACTCGGGGAGGGTGCAGGGATTTCATATAGACAGAAAAGACAATGATATGATGTATTTACTCACTGTGATGCCAGCAATTCCAATTCCAACGATTCCAACTAAATGCAGATTCGAGTTAATTAAATTCTGGATTTCATCCAGGCAGTTCTATTAAAAACAGAATGAAAGTTCCACTTAACTCCTAGACAAATATTTCTATATCATTTCCCTAAACTCTTGCCTTCATGTACACGGAGAAAGGCTAACACAGTGACCTGTCTGCTAACCTGCCTTCTATGCCTTGTGCCCTGCTCGACATTTCTTGCTACTAGGTAGCTTACTCTCCCCTCATCTGAGCAATCAGTAGGCTTTAAATTGCCAGGAATAATCTCCTTTGTTGTCCTCACCATACTCCTTTGTATACCCATGTGCCATCTCAATAGCACTCACATGTGGGTTTTCATTAATAGCTTCCCCACAAGTTAAAGCCAGCTATGTGTCCGGATACACTAAATCAGGGGAATATGGCCTTTCGGGATAATGGTGCAACTGCAGGCAGGTGCCACAAAAACTAGAAATGAGAGTGTTTCCCTCATTTTAATTGGCCACATTCCTAGCCAGGGTCCTCTGAGCATGGTGAAGACAGGCACATGCCATAATTCAACCTTCAGCGGGCCTTTCATTCAGACTCCTAGACACCAACATCTAAGTGCCCCTGCTCTTCAGACTGTGTGACATTACAGCCACAGCTACCTGGGGAGGTGGTAGGGAGGCTGCAGACAACAAGAGCAGGGGCTGTTCACATTTCTGAGTCTGACCCCTCACTCTTCTCTGCCTCTATGCTGTTCAGCTGCACAGAACTGCCCATGGCTGAGAAGGTGCTGGAGCTTATTCAGGGCAGATAGCTGCTCTGACTTTCCCGAACATGATTCTACTTGCACATTTCTCCAATTTCATCGTAAGTAACTCTGATATGGACAAAGGATATCTGAATCATCTGAAGCCGGCTGATCCGACTGTGGACATAGTCTCTCCTCAGCTAGCTCCTCTGGGCTATAAACCTCAGTCCGTCCCAGTGTCATCATTAGTGCTATTTTTGCTCCTTGTGTGTCAGAGAAACTTCTGTTTCAAACTGACATATCTGTGGGGAACGGTAATTAAAACAATCAGCACAGAAGACACTCACCTTGGGCACCTGGATGCCCTCTGGACAGGTGGGCTTCACCTGAAGCTCACTTTCTTTACCACAGCATTGAAGCTACATAGTTGAGAGAGAGACAGAAAGTCAAAAAAGGAAGAAACTACAGGCTAGTTTCCTACTAAGACTCTGCATTCAATGGCAGCAAGTGGGCCTGACTGCTCAAGGCAATACAAATCCCTGCTATGGACGGGCCAGCAGTTTCTAAATCCCTTTACCCAGGAAAACAGAAATAGTTCAAGCACTATGTGTAGAAATGTGGGCACCATGTTGACGCTGCAGTAGAGTATGCTAGAGTCTTTATTACAGACAGAACATGCTATTGGGTTTGTGGCTAGTGATAAATCAACAGAATGTTTCAGTGGGTTTGTTTTTCCCATTTACACATCTCTGAGAAAATGCTTGGAATTCCTCTTTGGGTCATAATTAATAGGCATGGGAGAAGGACAAGAGGTTCAGAGGTTGTGAAATGTTAGTTATGAAGAATGTTGGAATGATATAAGCAGTGACAAAAGGAAGGGTTTGATCTCTATGGGAGGCAGCATTGCTTCACGAAATGAGCACAGACTTGGGCACAAGTAGGGCTCTAAGGGTATGTCTACACTACGAAATCAGGTCGAATTTATAGAAGTCGGTTTTTTAGAAATTGGTTTTATATATTCGAGTGTGTGTGTCCCCACAGAAAATGCTCTAAGTGCATTAAGTGCAGTAACTCGGCGGAGTGCTTCCACAGTACCGAGGCTAGCATCGACTTCGGGAGTGTTGCACTGTGGGTAGCTATCCCACAGTTCCCACAGTCTGCGCTGCCCATTGGAATTCTGGGTTGAGATCCCAATGCCTGATGGGGCTAAAACATTGTCGCGGGTGGTTCTGGGTACATATCGTCAGGCCCCCGTTCCCTCCCTCCCTCCGTGAAAGCAAGGGCAGACAATAATTTCACGCCTTTTTTCCTGAGTTACCTGTGCAGACGCCATACCACGGCAAGCATGGAGCCCTCTCAGGTAACCGTCACAGTTGTCTCCTGGGTGCTGGCAGACACGGTACTGCATTGCTACACAGTAGCAGCAACCCATTGCCTTCTGGCAGCAGACGGTGCAATACGACTAGTAGCCGTCATCGTCATGTCCGAGGTGCTCCTGGCCGTGTCGGCCGGGAGCGCCTGGACAGACATGGGCGCAGGGACTAAGTTTGGAGTGACTTGACCAGGTCATTCTCTTTAGTCCTGCAGTCAGTCCTATTGAACCGTCTTATGGTGAGCAGGCAGGCAATACGGATTGCTAGCAGTCGTACTGTACCATCTTCTGCTGGGCAGGCAAGAGATGGGGATGGCTAGCAGTCATATTACACCATCTTCTGCCGGGCAGGCAAGAGATGAGGATGGCTAGCAGTCATATTGCACCATTTTCTGCCGAGCAGCCATGAGATGTGGATGGCTTGCAGTCCTTCTGCATCATCTGCTGCCAGCCAAAGATGTAAAAGATAGATGGAGTGGATCAAAACAAGAAATAGACCAGATTTGTTTTGTACTCATTTGCTTCCCCCCTCCCCTGTCTAGGGGACTCATTCCTCTAGGTCACACTGCAGTCACTCACAGAGAAGGTGCAGCAAGGTAAATCTAGCCATGTATCAATCAGAGGCCAGACTAACCTCATTGTTCCAATAAGAACAATAAGTTAGGTGCACCATTTCTTATTGGAACCCTCCGTGAAGTCCTGCCTGAAATACTCCTTGATGTAAAGCCACCCCCTTTGTTGATTTTAGCTCCCTGAAGCCAACCCTGTAAGCCATGTCGTCAGTCGCCCCTCCCTCCGTCAGAGCAACGGCAGACAATTGTTCCGTGCCTTTTTTCTGTGCGGACGCCATACCAAGGCAAGCATGGAGGCCGCTCAGCTCACTTTGGCAATTAGGAGCACATTAAACACCACACGCATTATCCAGCAGTATATGCAGCACCGGAACCTGGCAAAGCGATACCGGGCGAGGAGGCGACGTCAGCGCGGTCACGTGAGTGATCAGGACATGGACACAGAATTCTCTGAAAGCATGGGCCCTGCCAATGCATGCATCATGGTGCTAATGGGCAGGTTCATGCTGTGGAACGCCGATTCTGGGCTCGGGAAACAAGCACAGACTGGTGGGACCGCATAGTGTTGCAGGTCTGGGACGATTCCCAGTGGCTGCAAAACTTTTGCATGCGTAAAGGCACTTTCATGGAACTTTGTGACTTGCTTTCCCCTGCCTTGAAGCGCATGAATACCAAGATGAGAGCAGCCCTTACAGTTGAGAAGCGAGTGGCGATAGCCCTGTGGAAGCTTGCAACGCCAGACAGCTACCGGTCAGTTGGGAATCAATTTGGAGTGGGCAAATCTACTGTTGGAGCTGCTGTGATGCAAGTAGCCCACACAATCAAAGATCTGCTGATATCAAGGGTAGTGACCCTGGGAAATGTGCAGGTCATAGTGGATGGCTTTGTTGCAATGGGATTCCCTAACTGTGGTGGGGCCATAGACGGAACTCATATCCCTATCTTGGCACCGGAGCACCAAGCCGGCGAGTACATAAACCGCAAGGGGCACTTTTCAATAGTGCTGCAAGCTCTGGTGGATCACAAGGGACGTTTCACCAACATCAATGTGGGATGGCCGGGAAAGGTACATGACGCTCGCATCTTCAGGAACTCTGGTATGTTTTAAAAGCTGCAGGAAGGGACTTTATTCCCAGACTAGAAAATAACTGTTGGGGACGTTGAAATGCCTATATGTATCCTTGGGGACCCAGCCTACCCCTTAATGCCATGGCTCATGAAGCCGTACACAGGCAGCCTGGACAGTAGTCAGGAGCTGTTCAACTACAGGCTGAGCAAGTGCAGAATGGTGGTAGAATGTGCATTTGGACATTTAAAGGTGCGCTGGCGCAGTTTACTGACTCGCTTAGACCTCAGCGAAACCAATATTCCCACTATTATTACTGCTTGCTGTGTGCTCCACAATATCTGTGAGAGTAAGGGGGAAACGTTTATGGCAGGGTGGGAGGTTGAGGCAAATCGCCTGGCTGCTGGTTACGAGCAGCCAGACACCAGGGTGGTTAGAAGAGCACAGGAGGGCGCGGTATGCATCAGAGAAGCTTTGAAAACCAGTTTCATGACTGGCCAGGCTACGGTGTGAAAGTTCTGTTTGTTTCTCCTTGATGAAACCCCCCGCCCCTTGGTTCACTCTACTTCCCTGCAAGCTAACCACCCTCCCCTCCTCCCTTTAATCATTGCTTGCAGAGGCAATAAAGTCATTGTTGCTTCACATTCATGCATTCTTTATTCATTCATCACACAAATAGGGGGATGACTACCAAGGTAGCCCAGAAGGGGTGGTGGAGGAGGGAAGGAAAATGCCACACAGCACTTTAAAAGTTTACAACTTGAAAATTTATTGAATGCCAGCCTTCTTTTTTTTGGGCAATCCTCTGTGGCGGAGTGGCTGGTTGGCCGGTGGCCCCCTCACCGCGTTCTTGGGCGTCTGGGTGTGGAGGGCGGTTGGTTACACAGGGGCTGTAGTGGCAGTCTGTGCTCCAGCTGCCTTTGCTGCAGCTCAACCATATACTGGAGCATCCTGGTTTGGTCCTCCAGCAGCCTCAGCATTGAATCCTGCCTCCTCTCATCACGCTGCCGCCACATTTGAGCTTCAGCCCTGTCTTCAGCCCGCCACTTACTCTCTTCAGCCCGCCACCTCTCCTCCCAGTCATTTTGTGCTTTCCTGCACTCTGACATTATTTGCCTCCACGCATTCGTCTGTGCTCTGTCAGTGTGGGAGGACAGCATGAGCTCAGAGAACATTTCATCATGAGTGTGTTTTTTTCTTTCTAATCTTCACTAGCCTCTGGGAAGGAGAAGATCCTGTGATCATTGAAACACATGCAGCTGGTGGAGAAAAAAAAGGGACAGCGGTATTTAAAAAGACACTTTATAAAACAGTGGCTACACTCTTTCAGGGTAAACCTTGCTGTTAACATTACATACATAGCACATGGGCTTTCGTTACAAGGTCGCATTTTGCCTCCCCCTACCGCGTGGCTACCCCCTCAACCCTCCCCCCTCCCCATGGCTAACAGCGGGGAACATTTCTGTTCAGCCACAGGTAAGCAGCCCAGCAGGAACGGGCTCCTCTGAGTGTCCCCTGAAGAAAAGCACCCTATTTCAACCAGGTGACCATGAATGATATCTCACTCTCCTGAGGATAACACAGAGAGATAAAGAATGGATGTTGTTTGAACGCCAGCAAACATACACTGCAATGCTTTGTTGTACAATGATTCCCGAGTACGTGTTACTGGCCTGGAGTGGTAAAGTGTCCTACCATGGAGGACGCAATAAGGCTGCCCTCCCCAGAAACCTTTTGCAAAGGCTTTGGGAGTACATCCAGGAGAGCCGCGAATGCCAGGGCAAAGTAATCCTTTCACATGCTTGCTTTTAAACCATGTATAGTATTTTAAAAGGTATACTCACCAGAGGTCCCTTCTCCGCCTGCCGGGTCCAGGAAGCAGCCTTGGGTGGGTTTGGGGGGTACTGATTCCCTGTCCAGGGTGAGAAACAGTTCCTGGCTGTCGGGAAAACCAGTTTCTCCGCTTGCTTGCTGTGAGCTATCTACAACCTCATCATCATCATCATCTTCTTCGTCCCCAAAACCTGCTTCCATGTTGCCTCCATCTCCATTGAAGGAGTCAAACAACACGGCTGGGGTAGTGGTGGCTGAACCCCCTAAAATGGCATGCAGCTCATCATGGAAGCGGCATGTTTGGGGCTCTGACCCGGAGCGGCCGTTCGCCTCTCTGGTTTTCTGGTAGGCTTGCCTCAGCTCCTTAAGTTTCACGCGGCACTGCTTCGGGTCCCTGTTATGGCCTCTGTCCTTCATGCCCTGGGAGATTTTGACAAAGGTTTTGGCATTGCGAAAACTGGAAGGGAGTTCTGATAGCACGGATTCCTCTCCCCATACAGTGATCAGATCCCGTACCTCCCGTTTAGTCCATGCTGGAGCTCTTTTGCGATTCTGGGACTCCATCATGGTCACCTCTGCTGATGAGCTCTGCACGGTCACCTGCAGCTTGCCACGCTGGCCAAACAGGAAATGAGATTAAAAAGTTCGCGGTTCTTTTCCTGTCTACCTGGCCAGTGCATCTGAGTTGAGAGTGCTGTCCAGAGCGGTCACAATGGAGCACTCTGGGATAGCTCCCGGAGGCCAATACCGTCGAATTGTGTCCACAGTACTCCAAATTCGACCCGGCAAGGCCAATTTAAGCGCTAATCCACTTGTCAGGGGTGGAGTAAGGAAATCGATTTTAAGAGCCCTTTAAGTCGAAATAAAGGGCTTCATCGTGTGGACGGGTGCAGGTTTACATCGATTTAACGCTGCTAAATTCGACCTAAAGTCCTAGTGTAGACCAGGGCTAAGTTTTAATCTTGGCTTGGTCGCTGACTTGCTGTGTGGCCTGGGACAAGTCTCTCATTCTGTGCTTCAGGTTCACTGGCTGTGCAATGGGAATGATGACAGGATCTACCTTTAATACTGTTTACATCACAGTAGGGCCTGGGGGCCCTGGGCAGGATCAGTGTTCCGTTGTGCTAGGCACCATACAGACATAGAGGTGAACTCAGTCCCCACTGTGAAGGTTTACGACCTCTCACAAGGGTGTAATTAGTTACTGTCTGTACAGCTACTGTTCGGCTAAGTTTCAGGGATGTTCACAAACTCATCCAGCTCTTGAGCAAGGGACATGAGGGCTAACTGTCCCATGTGTCTGACAGAGAGAGGTGCTGATGCATTGCATGGGAAAAAGGCCTCTTTGTTGAGCTGGAGTGGACCCTGTTGGAGAAGCCAAAGCTGGTTGTTGTAGATTCTTTTGGGGATTGTTTTCTAGTTGGGCAAATAACACCTCTAGTGCACTGGAGACCAGATCTGCCCAGGACTCAGGTGAACAGAGTCCACGGCCCTTGGATTATTCTTAAGCCTGTGCCCTGTTGTCAGTTACTGGAGTTACTCAGCACTATGGCTATAAGGAACAGGATGGGGGGGGAAGGGCATGTGTAATGTTGTGCTGGAGGAAACACATTGATAAACTGAGGTACAAGAGAAATTGTTGGCACTGCACGCCTGGTTGTGGCTTCTTCATTTCTATGGTAACAAATGTAGTTGTCCAGATCCCTGGTGGTGACAGTATTCATTCACCATTAGTTTTTCTAGGGAGAACTTGGCCCAAACACCAGCTGCAGAAACCGATGGGGAACATTCCTTGCTTTGGGGAGCAGGAAGCCACAGTATTGTCACTGCAGGGTATTTTTTCCTCAAGTACATGAATGAGGCATGGGGCCAGTTTGGCCTTAAGGCTTGTCCACACATGACAGTTAGCAACAGTTAATTGGGAATGACTATCTCAATTAACTTCCCATGTAGAAAATCCCTTCAATAGCTGGTGCTGTAGAGAGCCCTTTGTGGCTGATGCAGCCCTTTAAATGTTGTTTGATTCAGAAATTTCCTGCCAATTCTGATTTTTTCACAGTTATATTTGCATATTAATACATTTTAAAGCCAGAAGGGATCATTATGGTCATCTAGTCTGACCTCCTGTATAAAGCAGCCCACAGAATTTCACTCAGAAATTGAAGGTCTAGCAGTTTGCACTTCCCATGTTAGTACTTACCTGCAATTTGAGCCCAGGACTTCTGGCACCTAAAGCAAGCTGCATACACTTGAGCCACCAGGTCACCTTTAAACAAACTCCTCAATTCCACTCCCTCAGGGCCCAGAGAGTGGGAAGCAGTCACCCTTCTGCAAACCCTGGCATTCAATTTTTGAAGGGTGCCACCACTGTGAGCACTATTTAAGCTCACATGAGTTACTTACAGCTGTGTGGAACTGAATGAGAGTTTCGTTACTCTTCCCCATGTCCATCACATAGTCTTTATAAGCTTCTTCATAGATGGTCTGGACCTCCTGTACTGCCTGCAAAAGTCAGACAAGTCCGTTGAGATACTGAACTGGAGACAACAGGGGACCTATCAGATCCTACTCCAAATCCAATATACATCCCTGGCTTTCCTCTCCAGCCCCTAGAGTCATGAGCGACTCCTCTACACTATTTTATCCCTAGTGATCTGGTGGACTGAAACAGTAATAGAGGTGCTCTGGGAGAGCAGGGCTCTTGGGGACTTATGAGAACTTGGGCAGAACCCTACAGCACTTGTTTACTATATTTCTGCCAGGCACTCAGAACCCAGGAGAGGTTCACTAACAAGAGATGTTCGTTGTTTTGATTATGTACAGTTCCCCAGAGCATCACACACTCCCCTACAGCTCTCCAGGCAGTTCTGAAGTTGATATTACTCTCACATACAGGGATTATTTATACTGTTGGATTTTCTGTTCATATGTGGGAATGGAGACTATGTCCCATTTTGAAGCCCAGCTTCTCAGGCTCATGACAACACGAGCTCTCCATGTCTAGAGGGTCACAGAGTCCTCCTGTTTCTGTGGAATCCTTCCCTAAAATGTGACCTTTACCTGACCTCTTCGGATCAGTCAGCAGCAGGAATCCAAACCCAGCCCATAGCATCAGAATCACCTTGCTACTCACCGCTTTTTTGCCTATGAATGCAAACACTCCAGCGGTGACTTCAGCAGCAAATATCACCAGCAAGCAGGCAAAAAACTGCAGAGGAGAAACAGAGTCTGTACTAGTTTATTTTACATAAGGCCCTTTATACAAACTTTGCATCCCAAATCCTTCCACAAGGCTCAATAATACACAACAGCTGAGGGAGGGAGGAAGGTGTTGAGCAGGCAGAGGCAAGGGAGAAGGAGAGGTGTTTTCAGATTAGATTTTCAATGAGATAAAGGGCAGATGAGGTGGAAATAGACCCCGGGAGGTCGCTACAGATGGTGGAAGTGACAGAGGAGGCAGTCCCAGGAGGCAGCAGCTGAGTCAAGCTAGCAAGGGGATAAATTCACACATGGAAGCTATTGAATGCGACCTGTTGGAGATGTTGGGTTAATAAAGTAGCTGCTTATTATGAGGAGTAAAATCAAGTTACTGATCTCTGACCCAAGAGCTGTTCCCACCAGTGACGCAATGGTGCACCCCTGAAGGAGATTTCTATCAGAATAATGCCCCTCTGCCATGTAGATTGGTCAAACTGGACAGTCTCTACGTAAAAGAATAAATGGACACAAATCAGATGTCAAGAATTATAACATTCATAAACCAGTCGGAGAACACTTCAATCTCTCTGGTCACGCAATCACAGACATGAAGGTCGCTATCTTAAAACAAAAAAACTTCAGATCCAGACTCCAGCGAGAAACTGCTGAATTGGAATTCATTTGCAAATTGGATACTATTAATTTAGGCTTAAATAGAGACTGGGAGTGGCTAAGTCATTATGCAAGGTAGCCTGTTTCCTCTTGTTTTTTCCTACCCCCCCCCCCCCGATGTTCTGGTTTAACTTGGATTTAAACTTGGAGAGTGGTCAGTTTAGATGAGCTATTACCAGCAGGAGAGTGATTTGTGTGTGTATGGGGGTGGGGGAGATGTGAGAGAACCTGGATCTATGCAGGAAATAGCCCGACTTGATTGTGTAAAGAGTTGTCACTTTGGATGGGCTATCACCAGCAGGAGAGTGAATTTGTGTGGGGGGGGTGGAGGGTGAGAAAACCTGGATTTGTGCTGGAAATGGCCCACCTGATGGTCACTTTAGATAAGCTATTACCAGCAGGACAGTGGGGTGGGAGGAGGTATTGTTTCATGGTCTCTGTGTGTATATAAAGTCTGCTGCAGTTTCCACGGGATGCGTCCGATGCAGCGAGCTGTAGCTCAGGAAAGCTCATGCTCAGATCATTGGTTCGTCTCTAAGGTGCCGCATGTCCTCCTCTTCTTTCTCCAGCAGGGATGGTCCATCAAGCCTGTTACTTACCGCTCCAAGCAGGTACTGAGACTCCCGCACTGCTCCACAGCACCCAAAAAATCCAACTGTCACCATCAGCGCCCCTGCTCCCACCAGCACATAGAGCCCTGTGGGGAACCAGAACCAGTCAGTCTCAGAAGAGTTCAAACCAGATCAGTCTTTCAGACATTACATCACTTTTCCTGGCAGGGAGGAGCCTGTCATCCATTCTCAGTCCTGTGTTTGTGCCCCAAGGGACAGTCCCCTCCATCTCTACAGCTCCTCAGCAGGGCTGCTGTGTCCCTCAAAGGGAACCAGTCTCCTCCTTAGATCTCGTAAGCTTCCTTAAGCTCCACAAAGGCCAGCATGAAAAGGGTTCCACCTGCCAGGTCTCCTGTATGGAAACCTGCACAGTCCAGCAAGAAGTCTACTGCCCACCAATAGGTAGTGTGTTTTATACATCACATCATATAGAATCATCTTATAGCTAGTCACCACAGAACAAGCAGCAGGAAAGACAATCCTCTGAAGTCAGCACTGTTCAGGATCACATCTCCCTGGAGTGTACTTTCTCTGTGGAAGAGAGAGCCTTTGCCACACGGAATTCCTGTGACACTGAAGCACCTGACCTGGCTGTGACGGGCTGGGTCACAGAGACCCCCTTGGGACTGCCACCTGATGTGCTGAGACTACTTCTGAGCCCATTTTCCCTGGCAGCTTGGGATTTCAGTACCCTGTCTTGTTGAGCCAGACACTCTAGCCTGCTGCAAACACAGACCCAGGTCTGAACTGCGTCCCCCAAAAGCTGCAGACTCAACTGAAAACGGCTTAGAGAGTGCTCCTATCTCTAGCACCCAGACACCCAGCTCCCAATGGGATCTAAACCCCAAATAAATCTGTTTTACTCTGTATAAAGCTTATACAGGTTAAACGCATAAATTGTTCGCCCTCTAGAACACAGATAGGGAAATATGCACAGCTGTTTGCTCCCCCAGGTATTAATATTTGCTCTGGGTTAATTAGCAAAAAGTGATTAAATATAAAAAGTAGGATTTAAGTGGTTCCAAGTAATAACAAACAGAACAAAGTAAATTACCAAGCAAAATAAAACAAAAACACACAAGTCTAAGCCTAATACAGTAAGAAACTGATTACAGATGAAACCTCACCCTCAGAGATATTCCAATAAGCTTCTTTCACAGACTAGACTCTTTTCTAGTCTGGGCACAATCCTTTCCCCTGGTACAGTCCTTGTTCCAGCTCAGGTGTTAGCTAGGGATTTCTCATGACTGCAGCCTCCTTTGTTCTGTTCCACCCCCTTATATATCTTTTGCAGAAGGTGGGAATCCTTTGTCCCTCTCTGGGTTCCCACCCTTCCTTCTAAATAGAAAAGCACCAGGCTAAAGATGGATTCCAGTTCAGGTGACATGATCACATGTCACTGTAAGACTTCATTACCCACTTGCCAGCACACATGTACACAGGAAGACTTACAAGTAAACAGAGCCATTTATAACCAATTGTCCTGCTTAAAGGGAGCCATCAAGATTCCAAACCACCATTAATGGTCCACATTTTGCATAATTACAATAGGACCTCAGAGTTATATTTCATATTTCTAGTTTCAGATATAAGAATGATACATTTATATAAACTGGATGATCACACTCAGTAGATTATAAACTTTGTAATGATACCTTACTAGAGACCTTTTGCATGAAGTATATTCCAGTTACATTATATTCACACCTATTAGCATATTTTCATGAAATCATATAGAGTGCTAAGTCACACTGGCCTCTAATGGGACCCATCTCATAGAACCCTCCCTAGCTTTTCTAAAGCGTATGGGCTTGGTTTTGCCAGCTGGCCCAATGCGTGGTTGGGAAGCACACTTCACTGCTGTGCAGGGGGTGAGTGTGGGAAGTCCCATGGAACCATGCTGCTGGGATGTCTGGGCACAGGGCTAACATGACACTCTCCGTCTCCTCCAGAAGGGAAGGCACAGGATCTATTGCAAGACGCTGTCTGTCCTTGGCAGCAGTATTTCAGCTTTGGAGGATACTGCTGGCTACTGGAATCGAGAAGGTGTGGGGCCTATTGGAAGACTGATGTCTCAGGAGAAATGGAATGAGATGATCACATTACAACTCCTGTGGACAAAGACTGGCAATAAAAAGTCAACGTTCTCTAAGAAGCTGCTGAGGGTCAGCCACTGTGAATCCCAGTGCTGAGCTCTACTTTCACAGAGGTGGGGCATCTCTCAATAGGTCAGTGGATACATGAGATGCTTCTCTATTTGAGGTGTGGCTTCTTTCCTGCAGAACAAATGGCAGGGACACTAGTGCTTCGTATGATAGCCACACCCCAGATCCATTAACACACACATGCCCTTATAGCATACTGATGCAGATGCCAAAATGACGGACAACATGAGCTGAGAGGGGCTCATGTTATCAGCATGTGAAGGCCAGGGACTTTCTTCCACAGAAGCTGCCAGCAAAAGCAGCATGTGTTATAGTAGGCAGCGTCATAAAGAAAGAGAGACAAACCATGGTCAGATGGTCTGGTAAAGTGGTTATGTTTGTAAAACTCACAGTCCTTCTCATATGAACTGCAGGCAGCACCTCCTGCAGGGCCTGTTGCCTCCAGCCATATTTCATATTGCCCTCAATTTCATCAGACAGGGTCCGAGTGACCCTGCAATAGCTGATGGGAACACTGTGAACTGCCTCCATATTCTGGCTGGCTGTTCATGGCTAAGTGCTTCAGAGATAACTTGGGAGTGGTGGGTACTGTCCAGAAACTCTGGCTAACCTCTCTCTTGGACTTGTTGCCAGAAGAGCTTGGGCCCATCTCGCCAAAGGAAATTTGCCTGTATGGAATTTGCATGGCATGAAGACTGGTCAGAAACAGTGACAATCATAACATGGAATGTATTAGTGGGTACTGCAAGATGTCTCAAGAGCATGCTGGGGTGAGCCTGCCAGTGCAGATCAGCTTGGAGAGGAGAGGAAAGGCCCCTAGCACAGAAAGGCCCCTAGCACTGAGGGACACAGGCTTGGCACCTCATACATTTAAAACTAGTACTGGCCAAAGTACAGTACTATAGAAAATATTGTAATGATCATTTCTGCCCCACCCTGAGAGCTATTCAGCTTTTGCCATCTCCAGAATCTCTGTGCACCTCATAGTGGCATGAGGTCACTTGCATGGTTTTGTGTTCTAGACTTTATCTGGGGGAGAGGGAGACAGGTCGGGGCTGCTTCTTCCGAGCAGAGATCACATCTTATTTAGATTTGTAAACTGTTTAATGATGAATGGATGATAATTCTGCCTGGCTGCAGGCTTTCAGTCAGAATGCCAGGAGGGTGCTCGTTACTTGATGGAGTCTATGATTCCTTGGCCTCGGGTGCAGCACTGACCACAAACAGGCCTGCTGTCCAGCACAGCACCCTGCTACTTCAGCCTTTGCCATCTTTACATGGGGGCTGGGAACACAGACATATTTAATGCATATCAAATGCTAAAATGAGCCTGCAGCACTTTCCGTCCCACGCAGCATGTGGGGGATGCTAAGGTCGGTTGTCCCACTAGAGGGCACAGTCAGCCCTGCTTTCAGAGTCAACTGCACACTGTGCATTTTCATACTTTCACTATTTTCTAATGTTTAACATTTTATTTTTTAAAATTGACCTGAATCTTTATCATTCACATAGCTGCCAGCATTGAATATGCACTAGGCCTTGCCACATCCAGACCCGCACAGAGACCCCACAGAAGGGTGTAGGAATAATTGAGAGGGAAATAATTAAAAGCTCTGCATTCCCCAGTGCATCGTGGTATCTCTCTTTTGGAGGATAAGTTCTTTGGGGCTCCCTCTGCATTTGTGCACAATATATTCAGCACACAGGGATGCTAGGCAAAATAGCAGAGCTAGTCGAGAAATGGAAAATATTTCAGCAAAAATTCTACAGAAAATAGTTAAATGTTAACAAAAACTTTCATCATAATCTTATTATAATACTGACAGCCTCAGAACTTCAGTTTACTCAAACCATGTCAGAGTTCTTGCCCGCTTGTCCACGAGCAACGGAAGATCTCACTGCCAAGCCACTGCTGTCATTAAAGTGCCACGCCTGAGGGTCCCAAATCCCAGTGGCTTTTCTGTCTCTCTCCCTCTGTAATATCATCATCAAGAATTGATGCAATATAAATCCTGCTAAAAGCTAGTAACCAGATTATTTTTGTGGTAACATCCGATGAAGTGAGCTGTAGCCCACGAAAGCTTATGCTCAAATAAATTTGTTAGTCTCTAAGGTGCCCCAAGTACTCCTTTTCTTTTCGTGAAATGTTAATGGAGAAGCAGCTGCACCAGCTGTTACACCAGAGAAGCTGGATTTCCTGAACTCCTCCTTGGAGTTCACAGAGTCTGAATTTACCAGCATCTTAGTACCATGCAGCTTATTATTTACCTAGAGTCTTAGCATAATCCATGCCAATGTAAATGCACATTGCAACAGGCTTTTGACTATTTTTGACTGGGTTTAAGGTGGGGATGTACATGGGTCGGAATCAGAGTTCATCTCCATGCGTAGCATGAGGAGGGTAAATCATATTATCTGTGACATGCCTCAAGAACATCTTTCATCATGTCGCCCAATGTCACGTCTTCTCATTTTCTGAGGGGGCACTCAGCTCCCATGGTGATGAGACCAGTGTAAATAGCGATACAAATTTCCTGGACCCTGCTCTGTATGTTACACTCTGCCTCCTTCTTTATCAGTCATTGAACATCTTGGCTCGGGTCTTTCCTATTTCCATTCATGTTGCCTCTAGCTAGATCAGATGAGGTTCTTTGGGGTCTGGGGCTCTGACCACTTTGAAGAGTCCTAGTTGCATTTGGATTTGCTCTCACTTCAATGGCAAAGCCTTTTAACATTTTACTCACATGACTCATAGCTGAACTTCTACCTCTCATCGGAGCTTCCCTTTTAAGGCGTGTTATAGGAAGTGCCTCTCACTGCATTCACTAAATAAATCTGTCAGCTCCCGGAGTGGGCTGCCTGGTCTGCTGGCTGCAAGAGGCTGTGCCCACCAAGAAAAGCCACCTTTGTATATCTCCCAC